AGCAGGAGGATCATGAGTTCAAAACCAGCCTCAGCAATGGCAAGGTGCTAAGCAAGTCAGTGCGACCCTATCTCTAAATAAAAAGTACATCCTGGTTCAATCCCTGGTACCAAAACAAACAAACAAAAAACCCCTAAAAACCCTCTGTTCTACCCATGGGCAAAATCACAGCTTCTAGGACTGGAGTCTTTTGTTTCTCCTTTGCTAGCAAAGCAATAAAACTTATTTTTCCTTTTTCTTAAAACTGTTTTCTCATTATTGGATTGGCATCAGGGACCAAGGACTAAGCTTTTGATTATAAGGAGAGGAAAGAGGAAATATTGGGAAATGACATTGACCAAATGATGTTGTTACATCATGTGCATGCATGCATATGTAACAATGAATCCCATTATTATGTGTAATTATGTTGCATTAATAAAAAATTGGGATAAAAAGAAAAAACATTTACACTTAAGTCATGAAAATAGTCTTCTTTGGTATCTTCTAGAAGTTTTGTTATTTTATCATCTACATTTTGAGGTACAGTTACCTGGGATTGACTTTTGTATATTGTGAGAAAGGTTAATATTAATATTTTCCATTTTGATAGTCAACTGACCAAATATTATTTATTAAGGGAAAAAAAGATACTTTGTTTCTGGCTTGCAATGCTACTTTTGTCACAAATCAAGTCAGTTAATTAAAAAAAAAATCTCTGAATCTTCTTGTACTCAAATTTAAGTATTACAGAACATTGTTGTACTTGTTATACCACTTATGTTCAAAAGTACTGTAGTGGCACCCCCTTTCTCCACAGAAAATCTTAATTGGACTTCTCCAAACATCTTCACCATGGCTGATTTTAGAACTGTCAGCAAAAGAGTCTCTACAGAAGAGTTCAGTGTAGATAAACTTCCAATTTTCGTGTTGCCCTATCTTACTTGGCCACTGGCCAGGAAGAAATCAGCACTCCAGGTGCTGGACACCCCCTTACTAGTTTTTCACAAACATTTATCCAGTATAGTAGTTTGTAAAAATGTGTAAACAAGGCCTCTAGTCTTGAGCTGGAGCTTCATAGAGATGTCTACATTTCTAAGATAAGAGAAGTTACCAATTGAGCTCCATGGTCACACCTGGCAGGGGGAGGGAAGAAAGGGGAGAAGAAGCTCTCCCCTTCTCAGGTGTTGACCTTGAAGGGTTAACTTGCCCAGAATAGTGAAAGAAAAAGCTGTTTTTATGTGAACTTCTGTGCCCCTCCCCTTACATGTTGGGTGTAAAATTCTGAAATTACCTGAACTTGAGTTTCAGGGGATTGATTATAGCAAAAGCTGTGCCCTCTGAACCTGGCTGCAGCTAAATAAAACTGTTTCCTGCTATCTTTGGTGCCTTACCACATGTGTCCCTTAGTTCATTTTTACTGATAATGTTAAAAACAGCTTACATCTGCTAACATGTGCAGGCTACATGTGTTAAGCCCATTGTGTGTATTCTTACATTTTATCCTTACAATAGCCTTAGGTGGTATAATTACCATTGCTAGGTGCTTGGTGTGAATCAATGGACAAAAATAAGTTCCACATAGAGCACAGATGTTTACATCCCAATATTTATATTTTTACATCATTTTTATTGTTGTTGCTAGTATTCTCTGGTTGCTTTTGAAGCTGAACACCTTTTCTTATGAGCCTCAGGTGTGCTAGGCAAGCTCCAACACTGAGCTAGATGTCTAACCCCTAGACTTTTTTTAAAAATGAAATCCTTGGCTTAGTCTTTTGTCCACATTTCTTGTGTGTTGTCTGTCTTTTTAATTTGGAGGAATTCTGTATGTATATTTGGATATGTGCCCATTGTTCTGAGTTGTAAATGACCTCTGTCATTCTGTGAGATCAGTTGATCTGGGGCTAGTTTGTTTTGTTTTGGTTTTTGGTGGCACTGGGAACTGAACCCAGGGCCTCTAGCATGCTAAGTGAATGTTCTAGTTCTTTAGACAGACATCCTTTTTCTGTAAGCTAAACCACACAGCAGTTTATATGCTTTGTGTTAATTGGTGCACAGGACCTAAGTATAAGGAGGGGCCTTACACCATCTAATATTATCTCAAGGTCACCAAATATTCTAGGTTTTATTGTCACAGGAAAGCTGGGACCTGAAATTCCAAACCTTGGTTCTTGTGTTCTGATGAAAGAAATTTTAAAGTCAGACACCAAAAGCTATGCAAGAGATCTTAAGTGAAAGTAAAGTAAAAACAAAGTGAGGCTTAAGCAGAGAGCATTCTCAAGAGAGAGAGTAGGCAGTTTCCAAGCAGAGAATGACAAAGGAGACAAAGCTGTCTTCAAATTCATGACTGATTGATGTTTACCAAGAGAACTGGGACCACCTTCTGTACTCTTTGCCAGTCAGTTGTTCAACTCCTTCATGTGGGCAGTGGAGTTTTTGACCTTAGTTGATCCTCTCAGGAATTGTCATGGTAGCCATTCTATTTAGGGGTGGCTTCATCTATAAGACAATCCTGTGTTAATGTGGGCATTGGGGTCAATAGCCAGTCAGAAGTTATCTTAGTGCTCCTGTGCTACTAAAAGAATCTACCTTCCCAGACAAATGGAGACACACACAGCCATAATTCGTAACTTCATACTAGCCTCAATGGACCCTGTTAAGAGTTAGTCTCATTAATTCTTTCCTTTTGACATATTTTCCCATTAGCTCCTTTGCTTCTGTTTGTTTTCTACAAATTAACTACTACCCTTTGCTTTTTCATCCACATTGAGTTTAAAGAAGACCCTACAGTAAGTGACTTTGCCATACATTTCACTGCTCATTGCTAGTTACTACATAACACTATGAATCTGGAGAGAGATTATTTACTAGTTAATATCCTAATCATTTAAGTATGGCTTCACCTTAGAATTTAGAATGCCTAGTTAAAGGCAGGGGATGGGATGGATGTAACCTTACAAAAGGCAACTGCCAAAGGAGCAGGCACTTTTAGACCCTTCATCTGCCTACCAAGAGCTCTAGATTTCTCAGAGACAATTATTGGATATTAAAGTTAGAGCACATTTATGCAGCTGCCCTCTCTGACCTGATGTTTCTCATTATAGAGTCATCCCTGGAACGTCTGGGCTTTGATTTCCTAAGACTGATGTGTATTTCATTACAGAACTCGAAGACTGAGGGCTGGAGGGCTTTTAGGTTTTGACATCTAGAGTCTCAGCCTCCTTCTTAACAATGTCTGCACCAGTGTGAAGTATATCCATTCTGTTCTCTAGTGATATTATTCAAGCTTTTAAAAGAATCTTTGTTGAAACTTATGAAATTTGTCTCACCACAAATTAGAAAAAAACCTTGCTGTGATTTCACTTTCTTAATTCTGTATCAGTCAGAATTTGCTTTGGCTGCAAGTACCTAAGTACTGAAAATACCATAGTTCAGGAAGATAAAGCTTTTATTTTATCTCATGTAAATAGAGGCAATCCGGGGGTGCTAAGACAACTCTGTGATGGGGTAGGAAATAGTCTCTTTTCCTCTCATTGTTTTTCCTTCTCTGTCTAGAAGGCTGCTCCAGGTAAAATGTTCCATTCAGCAAAGACATTTTCTCCCTCCCTCTCCTAGGACTTCCTAATAGTTGTACACACAGCTTTGCTTAGGTACTACATACAGACCAACACTTAGTTACCATAGGCATCAGACTGCCAAGGGAGGCTTGAAATACATGTCCAACTAAAAATAGAAATTTCTGGTTTTATGAATGGATATTGAGGACAGCAATTTATTTCTGCCACGTGTTGTGACTGAAGGTTTTTAAATCAGAATTAGCTTATGATATTTTAGATTGTGACATTCTGAACCTGGTTCTTATTGTTTAAACATTTTACCGGTCCAGAAAAGTAGGAAACTGTTTTTTTTTTTAATTATTAATGTGTTTTTACGTGGTGCTGAGCATTGAACACAGAGCCTCACATGTGCTAGGCGAGCACTCTACTGCTGAGCCACAACCCCAACCCCCCTAACTAATTTTTAAATTAAGATTTTTACTAATTTTTGAAGTTCAACTTCTTTCCCAAAGATGCACTAAAGGTTTTATTAAAACTCTAAAAACAGCAAATGCATTTGAGCATTGCAAATATAAAATATCGAGTAGGAAATATGCACCTTTTGTCCTTACAGAAGATATATATATATATTAAACCCACTATTAAGAATAGTCTGTTGGTAATGTAAAAGCTCTTGGTTAGAATGAATTCAAATATATGAAAATTAAAGTATAGAATTATTTTAGTTCACCAAAAATTAGATGATAAAGCAAGCAGCAGATATAATTCCTTAGACACTGTAGATTTTAAGTTCTGTTCTTCACAGTAGAGTGTGAAGAAAATCTAGTATTTAATGTAATTATCCTCATTATTTAAGATGATTGATTTTCTTCTAAAACTTAGTATGGTGACAGTCTAATTGTCCATTTTCAGAATTCATTATTTAGCCTTAAATGTGAAATTGGAATGTTTAAAAAAAAAAGAAGAAGAAGAAGAAGAAGCAGCAGGAAGGGAGAGCAGAGTGGAAAATTAAAGTAGGTAACACTGGAGTACGAAAAATTCACAGCTCCTTAACAAACAGGAGGTGAGAGGGAAGGGACAACCTGATCAGCTGCCTGTCTGCCAGAAGGCATTCAATCCCAGAAGACTTTTGTGCCACAAGAATATAAAAGGAGAGGGAAACAATTAAAGGCAAAAGCAACTAAATTCTTTAAACAACAGTAAAACCTAAGTGACTTTTGGGAAGATTGTGTACCCCCTAGTACTCAACCAATGAGCAACCAAAGGAGGGACCTTGCCCTGGAGGGAATAGTGCTAATTATAACTGCTCTGGGTGTGCCTGAGTACCAGACACCTGATCTTGCAAGACTGTCACGAAAGCCTCACTTTCTCTGTACCTTCTCAGTTCATTCCTTGGCTTTAGACAGGTGAGTGTGTTTCTCACAGTATGTAATTCTACAAGTTATCATATTTCTTCCTCCACAGGCAAGAAGTTTGATAGCTGTAGGACTGGGTGTTGCAGCTCTTGCATTTGCAGGTAAGATAAATGAAGAATATATGTCAATATTTGTTGTAGGAACAGGATTTTCAATTAGCTGCTACTTTGATTGATGAGTAGGACCTTTGTATTCTGACATTTTTGGTCTTCAAACATTATACATACTCATTCTTTTCACCATCTATAGTTGCTAAACATTAGTAAAACAAAATCTAGGTAAACTGTAGTAAACTGAAGAAAATTGGTGATGTATGTGCTAGGAATGCTAGTCCCAGTAATAGCTGGTGTTCTTGGCTTTTTTTTTCTTTTTCTTTAAATTGAGCTATAGTGTATAATAACAAGAAATCTTTGATATGATGCTATCACTGTATGGAGTCGGAGATTTCTCCAGATGCAGAGGAGACCTCAAACCTTCCACATTTTTGACTCCATTGCAGAAAAGAATTTAAGGAAGAGTCAGCTTGTAGAACAAGAAGGGAGAGCTTTATTGGAAAGCAAAAACAAAGAGGGAGTGTAGTCAAATTTTAGAGTGAGATAGTGACTCCAATCTTGCTCTGGGGTTCTAATATTTATAGAGGAGCTAGGGGGCTAGACTAAGGTAGAGTCAGGACAGAATTACATTTTTGTGCTCTAAAGTGCCCTTGCATGTTTTAAGCCTGCTTCTTGATTCTTTCCAGTGCCCTTTTTAGGTATCTTGCAGTTTTGTTGCTTTTTCATCAGCCAAGCTTCAAGCTGCAGGCAAGGATGCACATTCCCTTACTTGCTAGTTGTTTGTTTTATATTCCAGTGGCTCATAGGCATTTCCTTTATTAGCCTCAGTGTTCTTGTTCTCTGTGCCCTGAATTCCTGTCTCAGTGCAATCTAAGGATCTCAGTGATAGGGAATTCCTTTATATTCCCATGCTCACTTTTTCTTGCAGATGGGTCTATACTCTTAAGCTGTCAGTTACTTCTGATGAACACAGTTATTCACTGATTTATTACTTCATCTTTTAGCATATTGGTATAATTTCTTTAATAAAACCCAGGAGAATTTCTTTCACTGTCAAAAATCATCTTTTTAGAAAAAAGTTATGAATATTAAAAGTAAAATTGCTAATTTAATCACTAACTTAGAGTTTTAAATTGCATAGCTATTCCCTAATTAAATGTTAATCTAAGAGTATTTCCATGTTGATATTTACCGTTTTGTTTCTAATTGTATGGATTTGATCTTGTTAATTGGATGTTTTTAGGTAAAACTATTCCACTGTGTTTAAATGGAGTTAAATTCCAATAGAAAAATGACAAATAAGATTCTATTTTATTTTACATGGTACTTAATTTCATACAATTCTCAGTTAACAAATAGAACTTTAAAAACTAGACATTCATTGGGGCCAGGGATGTAACTCAGTGGTAGAGCTCTTGCCCAAGAAGTGTGACGACACTATGGGTTCAATTCCCAGTACTGCAGTGGAGGAAAAAAAAAAGTTCAGTAGTTCAGATCTTCTTCATCTTTTTTGGCAGCACAGCCTTGTGCCAATTATATACTAAAATGAATAACTAAAGTGAACAAATTCTGGGGTTTTTCTAGAGGAGAATCATATCTTAAAAGGAATTCTGACAAACTTGTCCATAAGCATAAAACTATTTTAGAAGTATTTTAGTAGAATAGGCATAGTCATTATGAATAAAATGTTAAGATTTTCATTTTAAATTAGAAAAAGATGCACTTTGGGGCTGGGGATACAGCTCATTCGGTAGAATGCTTGCCTCACGTGCACAAGGCCCTGGGTTCAATACCAAAAAAAAAAAAATGCACTTTTTCCAAGTCTTCTTTAAAAATATTTACGAGAATTGATGTGCAGATTGTACTATTTCCAAATTCATGTTACTAATTATAACAACAGATCTCTTCCAGAGCCAAATAAACTAAACAGTACAATTTAGGAGAATATACACTTCAGTTTGATGGGGGGGATAGCTCATCTAGTTTATGGTTAAAGGAAAACTTCAGATTCCACTTCTTAAAGCTTTTATCTGCTTTTTCACTGAGAAAGGAATTCAGTCACTGTGCTTGATTGTGGTTTTGAAGAATTTTGGGGTAATTTAAAAACTACAGTTTATACTATTGTGTAATCAAATGATAAGTTCTTCTGAAAGATCTAGGTAGTTGAGGTTTTCCAGTGGAACTCTTGATTTGCAAATAAGCTTATGGTTAGAATTAGAATTTAAGTTCACAGTGTCATATACTGTTTTCTGGCAAGACCTTTAAAGAAAGACACACTAGTAGAAGCCACATGTTCTCAATAGGATACAAAAGGTAAATTAGTTAGATGATATTTTATTCTTGTTTGATATCCTCAGAACAGTTTAGGACCTGTTTTATTATAGATTCTTGGTTTTCAAAACTGGGGAAGTTTGAATATTTGTATGTCGACAAAAGGCAAACCTGAAATAAGTTTTTAGAGAGAGTAGCCATCTTCAGTAACAAACCAATAATTAACATCCTTGTTAAATGTTTCATGCATAATTGCTTTTTTTAGTTTAGAGATAACTTCATTAAAAAATCACTATGTCATGTATATCATAAGTTGTATTGGTTTTCTATATGCTTCAAAGTGATTATCATTGTAAAAAGCAATACTGTTAATCGTTTTAATATCATAAGTATGTTTTATACATAAAGAGACTTCTGTAGAAAGAGTACGAGGATGTTATTTTTCCAATTTTATAATATGATATTATGTAAACATTGAAAACTTCTATAGTCATAAATTACAACTTGATAAATTTATTGGCTGTGATAATGATATCAAAATGAAATTCTGTCCTCAGTAGATTAGAAATATGAGAAAACATGGGTTTGGTTTTTTTATAAGTTTTGAAATATTTATTGAAAATAGTAAACTATCAATAAACAACATGCTAGTTACCTTGAAGGTATTGATTGACGTTGATTATAGAAAATTATATTTGCGTTTCTTCCTTTTACCATTTAGGTCGCTATGCATTTCAGATCTGGAAACCTCTAGAACAAGCAATTACAGACACTGCAAGGAAGGTTTCATCTTCTGTAAGTTAAATGTGACTTCACAACTAATTTTTATGCTCCAGCCAGTAGTATTACATTAATTTTTGGGTAACTTATTTTCCCTTTCTAACTACTGTTCATTTATTCAATAAACATTTAGTGAGTGTCCAGTGTACACCAGTCCCTGTAACAGGAGCAAGGGAGAGGGATGAAACAAAACACAGTCCTGCCTCTATGTAGCTTACTCAGGAGTTTATTTCATCTTGAAATTTGAAACTCCTCTCCTTATATCACTGTACCTGACCCATCTCAAATACAGAATTACAAGATTCCAGCCTGAAGTCCTGTAGGGCTTATCCATTCATCTACCAGCATCAGAGACTCTGGTGAGCTGAATATAAGGGAGGAATGGATAATAATAGTTATCTAAAAAGCCACACTATGAACTGAGGTTTGTGACCAATGAAGACAATTCAAATAAGACTCATTGAAGCCCTGAAAAATAAACATTGAGTTCTGAGAAATTTATGCAGAACTAGAATAGATCAGTTTGGCTTGCAGCAATTTGAGAATGAATGACTTGTTTTAGCAAAGACATCACAGGCTTTTGGGGTTTAGTTAGCCAAGAACAATGAGCCTTTCCAAAGGATGACATACTGACAAATAATTAAACCCAGGTTCAACTTTTAAGAGATTTTGGAATCCTATAAATGTATGTCTGTGATTAAAGTGAGTATATGTCTATTTTTTGTTCCTATTTGTATTTTGTTTGGTAAAGTATTGCCAGGGTATTCAGCATTTATTAAGTAAATATTCATTGAGCAACTTACCACATGCCAGACATTGTAGGCCATGGGATACAATCATGCACCAGACAAAGACATTTTCCTCTAGGCGCTTATGTTTTATATTTTATTAGAGATAAATCATAAACAAATGAAGTAGGATACATAATATCTATAAGTGTTAAGTGTTTATAATTAGTTAAAAATTTTCTTCAGAGTACTGGGGATTGAATCCAAGAGCATTCTACCACGGAACTACATTCCCAGCATCTTTAAATTTTTTATTTTGAATTGCGGCACTAAGTTATCAAGCTGGCCTTCAACTTGTAATCCTTCTGCCTCAGTTTCCAGAGTAGCTGGGATTATAGGAGTGTGCCACTGTACCCAGCTGTTAAGTGCATTTTTTCCCCCTCCTATACTAGGAATTGAACCTTGGGCCTTATACAAGATAGGCAAGCAGTCTATCGCTGAGCTACATCCCCAGCCCTGTTAAGTGTTTTTAAGGAAAACTAAATTAGGGTAAGAAGTTAAAGAATAACAACAGAAGAATCTTTCATTAGATAGGCCAGGCAAGCCTGAGAAGACATGGAAGCAGGCTATGCAAGCATCTGAAGAAAGAGCTTTCTGGTTAGTGGGAACATTACGGAAGTACTGAGATGGAAATGAGCTTAGCAACAGGGCTTTTTGGTTAGTTTTTCATCACTGTAACAAATACCTGAGAAAACAACTTAGAGAAGGGAAGATTTATTTTGGCTCATGGTTTCAGTCCCTGATTGGCTGGCTCCATGGCAGAATCATCATGGTAAATAGTTTGGCAGGGGAATCTGCTCAGTTCATGGCAGCCAGAAAACACACAAAAAAAGGAAGGTTGCTCGGGACAAGATATGGTCTCAATGGGCATGTACCCAGTGAACTGTGTCATGTATGCCATAGGTTGTATTGGTTTTCTGTATATTTCAAAGTGAATATCATTGTAAAAAGCAATACTGTTAATCATTTTAATGTCATAAGTATGTTTTATACATAAAGGGACTTCTGTAGAAAGAGTATTAGGATGTTATTTTTCCAATTTTATAATATTATGTAAACATTGAAAACTTCTATAGTTTGGAGGCAAACATGCCATACCTGCCTGTAGTTTCTACTACCTCCCTGTAGTCATTCAGCTTTCAATGGATTAATTCACTGATGACATCAGAGACCTCATGATCCAATCACTTCCCCAAAGTCCCTCCATTGAAATTATTGCATCAGGAACCAAGCCTTCAATTAATATCCAAATCATAACAATGGGTAACTTCATGGAGTCTATGAAAGGAAGAATAGTAGATTGGGCCCAAATCCTTATGGCCTAATGGACTATGAAAACCTCAAATTTTACTCTTATGAACAGAAAGTCTGTGAGATTTTGAGCACAGCATGATTTGCATTTTGATTATCACTATGCCTGTGACATAGAGTTTAGTTTATAGTGACCCAGAGTTAGAAGTCATGAAACGAGGGAATGGTGTTAGATGTTGGTGATTCAAGAGAGAGTAATGGTAATAGAAATAGTGACATAGTTCTCTAAATGGACTTTAGTTATATCTTCCCATGTTTACCAATAATAAATGGAGAGAATTTCAGGAATTATTTAATTGTAAAGGAAGAGAGAACAAGAAAATGAAAAAAAATTCTTACTGCTCAATAGAAAGCTTATAGGTAAGATAGGGTAGATTGAAGTGTATACCTGCCCTGCAACTTGCATTTTTTTAAGGAGAAAAAAAATGGTGTGCAAGTTCCTTTCCTTCTGTTTTTGTGGATTCTAGGTAAGAAATTTAGCTTTTAACAAATCTGGCTTCTCCTCCTTTTTCACAAAGTTCCACTCTTACAGTTTATAGTAAAACATCACAGAATATCTTAATCATCATCATCATAATAATTATACCTCAGTGAAGATACAAGTTTCTTAAAAGCAATTATTTAAAAATTAATCACTCCAGGGAAACTGAAAAAATGAGATATATGCATGCTTTCTCTTCACACTAATGAATCCCAAATGTCAAAATTCCTAAATACAGCATTTACAGTATTTTGATTTTGTAAATATTAATTATTTTTAACCAAATGGGGTTACTTAAAAAAAAAAAAAGAACTACAGTTGTATGTCAGTCTGTCATTCAAAGGGGAATGTCCCAAAACTCAAGTTCCAGTGGATTCTCTTTTCATTATTGTTGTAACACTTCACTTTATTTATTTCCTCTAAGCTTTAACATCTTGTTTTTAAATCTCATCTTCCTCTTTTTTTTTTTTTCCATTTTGCTGGAATATTGCCTGGAGTAATTTGTGTATATGGTATGCATGGATGGTAAATGTTGTAAGTTCTTCTCTGTTAAACAGTTGCTTTTATTCTCATTGTTAGTTATCACTACTAGTTCCTTGAAATTTAGTGGAGCCAACATGAGAGAACTACAGAACTCTCTGCTGAGACTTAACCTCAGTGCCTACACTTCTACATTCCTGCATACTCACAGTCAGATTTTCTGCTCTTCTTCTTTTTCATTGTACTTATTGTAGATAGCCTGTTGTCTTGGTTTTCTTTTGTTGTTTGTTTTGGGGTTTTAGGTTTTTTTAGTGTTCATTTTTTGGCTCTCAAAGTTTTTAGGATTTTCTCTATATTATTGGTGTTCTGAAAATTCTTAGGAACTCAGTGCACTGGTAACTTATTTGAAAATTGCCTTTTGTTGTAATGTTTTCTTATATTCAAAAAATTATTTTCTTCCTATGAGGTCCTTGCTTAGCATCTGATGGCCATCTTAAGTAACAGCTGCCATTTTAAGAAAAAAGTTTCACTTTCCCACCCAAGGGCGGTTCATAGAAAGGCTCACCACTCCCTCATACCAACCCAACCCTTAACCATGCATTAGGACCTGCCCAGTTCAGATTCCTGAGCCTGCCTTATAAAAATCCGAGAACCCAAGCCTGTTTTGCCTCTCTCCTATAGAGAGATGGCCTTTATTTGTCATCTCTGACAAATAAACTCTGTGTGTCTATCTGCTTGGTGTTTCATTTCTTGGACTTTTCCTTCACTTCCTTCATTTTCTTCTCTACTTCTAGAACTCCTATTATAAAGATGTTGGACCTTTGAGTCTATCCTTTATGTCTCTTAACATTTTAGCCCTTATTTTATTTATTTATTTATTTTTTTGCCTTGTCTTTTTTTGCTGTACATTCTGTAGTTATTTCCACAGCTTATTTTCCAAATCACTATGTTGGTTTTCAGCAATGATCATTCTGTTACTCAGTCCATCTCAATTATATACATTAGTGATTTTTTTTTATAATTTCCAAGAATTCTTTCTTGTATTCTTTTTATAGCAATCCACTTTTTAAAATAAATGTGATATCATTTTGAATAACTTTAAAGATTTTAATTAGTATTTTATTATTTTTTTAAGTACTAAGAATTGTAATAATCCAGGAGCATTATTATTTTTTGAGACTAAGTCCTCTCATTAAACTGCCACCTTGAACTTGGAAATCTCCTATCTCAGCCTCCCTAGTAGGTGGGATTATAGATGTGTCCCATCACACAAGCTTCTCTCTTTTTATTCTTCTAGAGACAATTGTTACCAGTTCATCTTGATTCTTTTAGTTGTTTTTTTTCCCTCCATGATACTGAGTGTTTTCAAAATGTCTGATGATCCTTGGTGTTGTTTTATATTTGTGAGGACTAAGTTGATTAATATAAGTAATGCTCCTGGCTTTCTCCAGCAGTTTGGTAGATTTACTTCAGTGGCTTAATACCATTGTCAGTGGCCTATGAATAGGTTTGTCAGTAGGCACATCTTCCAAAGCAAGAAGACAGGGGCAGGCTTGAGATCTTCAGAGTCTACTTTAATTTTTCTCCTTGTCGTAGATAACCCGCTCCCTCATTTTCTGGGTTCCAAAATGGGATCCACTGACTCTCTTCTTTCATTCTTTACTTATATTTTAGGATTTACCAGCTGGAGTCAGAAACACCAGTTCCTTCCTGGTGTTTTCCCTGAAACACCCCCACCACCCTGTGTTTGGGACTACTATGATTTTTCTTTATATGTGATCTTACCTGTTTTTCAGTCTTCCAGGATTTCTTTATAAACTTTCTGGTTTGCTTCTTGTCCCATTTCTTCCCATTTCTTGTTTTCTAGGCCTCATATTGCCTTTTTTTTTTTTGTATTGAAAATATTTCTTTTCCCATTTCAAAGGCACTTTGGAAAACAAAAAGAACTTTGTGAT